GGATTGATTTTTTCAACAGTGACGTTACAATTTTATTCGCACTGTTAGTCCCGTTTAAAATTACCTTTCCAGAAAATAATCTGATGCCATTATTTGAATAAATATAGTTTTATTACATCTATCAATGGTCATTATTTGAACGATGGAGTGTTAAATTTTCTCAAAGACAGAGAATAGTATCCCACAAAACGTTATTATAAAGCAGCTACTGTTATACGTTCGTTGATTTCAATGTTTTAATGAAAAAGTAAGAAACTAAATACTTTAAGTCTTTATAATTTTGACCTTGGATCTTTTGGAGCAAAAGCAATTGCGGATGTTCTTTTCAAAAACAACAGTCTAACTTATCTGGATCTTTCATCTAATCAACTTGGCACTGATGGAGGAAAAGAGTTAGCAAAGGCTATTTACAAAAACAACACGCTAGCAACTTTAGATCTTTCATCTAATCAACTTGGCTCTGATGGAGGAAAAGCGTTAGAAAATGCTATTTACAAAAACAACACACTACTTTTTGCACCAGACTATATTACAATTATTTATGAAGATCTCAAATTATTGATCCCAAATCTTTTAACGCGATGTCTTAAAACAAAATAAAATGCGAAATAATCAAAAAAGTAAAAAAAACGTATTGTTCAAATTCTTCTGAAGATCATCTAATAGAAGATGCGTCACTTTACTTCAAGCAAAAGATAGATACAATCTAGGGTCTTCTGGATTTCCTTCAATTTAGAAAAAAACAAAAATCATGGACAAAAAACAAAGATGCTATTGAAACAGCATAATCTGAACACTCCATATTAGTTAAAAAATAAATAAAACAAAGACATATTATTCAAACAAACAAAAAATCTCCTTAATGTAAGGGTTTGTTTTATTATGATGAGTAAATAATTTCTGCAGAGACACTTAGATGTGTCTTTGTTGTTCGTCCAGTTGAATCTAGCTTGCACCCATTCAGTTTTTCTCTTGTTCTTCTGCTTTATTAAAGATCCATCTGTGTGGGAGTTATTTGATTTTTGTAGTTTCTCTCGATTAGTTCTTGCTTCTTGCTATAGCCTTGGGCTTATCTTTTTTGTTTCTTAATCATTCCTATATCGAGATCGCTATGTTTACTGCTTCTACTTGTTCTTCATTTTCTCCTTTTTCAAGATCATTAGATTTGCTGTATATCGATATCGATATCGATATCAATATGTATGTGCTGTAAATCATTACCCGAAAATTTTGCCCTATGTATAACGATAAGTATATACCGATACCGATACATATATCGATATTTTTCTACCTAGATCTAATTTTAAATTCCCACCCCTTTTTATTTAAATAAAATCTTTCATTACAGTAAATTTCAAAGATTTATTTCTTACAGTAAATTTCAAAGATTTATTGGAAGAGATTACTATACATAAAAAAAAAAGAAAAGTAGTGCTTTTGTTGTTTGCACCCATGGCATTTCACAATATCCTACGATGTGTGAGAACTGTTTCACTTATGTGGACCTCTTTCGATTGATGTTTGGAAAAGAATGTTATACTTTTGTTAGACAATCTTTTTCCAGTATATTGGACTTAATGGGTATCCAATGATGCGTAGGAATTGTTCTATTAACATGGGCCTCCTTCGATCGATGCTTGGAAAAAGAATGTTATGCTTCTGCTAGGATATGCTTAGCAAATGAGATTGATGATTTCTTTCCAGAAATCCATTATGTCGTTGTCATACTTTATTCTAATGATTTAAATTTTATTCTCAATATTAACAATATTGTTTTTTTTTTAGTATGGATATTTCGAGCGGGATTTCTGAGTATTTGTGTAAAGTAAATTATGCAAAGTGGAACACTATTGATTGTCTTATATTTTTGGATAAAAATAATTGCTTGGGGAAAAGAAGAAATTTTAATCGAATTTAAGAAGCAGCTATATTCAGTAAATATTAATCAGTCATTAAACAAAAAAGCCCGTGATAAAGCATCAAAACTTCACAAAAATGTAGAGAAAAATTTCAAATTCAAAGAAGTTGTAGCATTTTTTGATCAGATGGATGAAAAAGTAAAATATTTACGTTAATCTGTATCATTAAT